CTCTCTAATCTCATCACTTTGCCCCTTGAATTCTTTTTTTGCAGAATTCTCACTATTTTACTTGGAATTCTGCCTAATTCTCAGAATTAAGTTTCTCCGCGTTTCTCCTTGGAGAGAATTTCCTTTTCTTTTTTTAATCCCAGAATTCGATTTTTTCTCAGGAATTTCACTTTTTCTCTGAATTCTCACTATTTTACTTGTAATTCTTACTAAATTCTCAGAATTTTGCTCCATGTTTTTCTCAGACTTCTGATTTTCTCATCATAAATCTGACTGTCAAAATTCTAAAAGTCAAATTTAAAGAGAATAAAGTTAGAATTCTGGGTGTTGATGGTTGTGGATCAGAATTTCAGAATATTGAGATTAATATTTTAAAGGTCAAGATTCCAAGGATAGTCAGAATTCTGAGCGAGTTTACCTTATCTTTTAATTTACTTCTGCCTTATTTACAGTGGTTTGCGAAAGTATTCGGCCCCCTTGAACTTTCCCACATTTTGTCACATTACAGCCACAAACATGAATCAATTTTATTGGAATTCCACGTGAAAGAGCAACAAAAAGTGGTGTACACGTGAGAAGTGGAACGAAAATCATACATGATTCCAAACATTTTTTACAAATAAATAACTGCAAAGTGGGGTGTGCGTAATTATTCAGCCCCCTTTGGTCTGAGTGCAGTCAGTTGCCCATAGACATTGCCTGATGAGTGCTAATGACTGAATAGAGTGCACCTGTGTGTAATCTAATGTCAGTACAAATACAGCTGCTCTGCGTCAGAGGTTGTCTAAGAGAAATTTGGGAGCAACGACAGCATGAAGTCCAAAGAACACACCAGACAGGTCAGGGATAAAAATTATTGAGAAACCTAAAGCAGGCTTAGGCTACAAAAAGATTTCCCAACCTTGAAAATCCCACGGAGCACTGTTCAATCAATCATTCAGAAATGGAAGGAGTATGGCACAAGTATAAACCTACCAAGACAAGGCCGTCCACCTAAACTCACAGGCCGAACAAGGAGAGCACTGATCAGAAATGCAGCCAAGAGGCCCATGGTGACTCTGGACGAGCTGCAGAGATCTACAGCTCAGGTGGGGGAATCTGTCCATAGGACAACTATTAGTCGTGCACTGAACAAAGTTGGCCTTTATGGAAGAGTGGCAAGAAGAAAGCCATTGTTAACAGAAAACCATAAGAAGTCCCGTTTGCAGTTTGCCACAAGCCATGTGGGGGACACAGCAAACATGTGGAAGAAGGTGCTCTGGTCAGATGAGACCAAAATGGAACTTTTTGGCCAAAATGCAAAACGCTATGTGTGGCGGAAAACTAACACTGCACATCACTCTGAACACACCATCCCCACTGTCAAATATGGTGGTGGCAGCATCATGCTCTGGGGGTGCTTCTCTTCAGCAGGGACAAGGAAGCTGGTCAGAGTTGATGGGAAGATGGATGGAGCCAAATACAGGGCAGTCTTGGAAGAAAACCTCTTGGAGTCTGCAAAAGACTTGAGACTGGGGCGGAGGTTCACCTTCCAGCAGGACAACGACCCTAAACATAAAGCCAGGGCAACAATGGAACGGTTTAAAACAAAACATATCCATGTGTTAGAATGGCCCAGTCAAAGTCCAGATCTAAATCCAAACGAGAATCTGTGGCAAGATCTGAAAACTGCTGTTCACAAAGGCTGTCCATCTAATCTGACTGAGCTGGAGCTGTTTTGCAAAGAAGAATGGGCAAAGATTTCAGTCTCTAGATGTGCAAAGCTGGTAGAGACAGACCCTAAAAGACTGGCAGCTGTAACTGCAGCAAAAGGTGGTTCTACAAAGTATTGACTCAGGGGGCTGAATAATTACGCACACCCCACTTTGCAGTTAATTATTTGTAAATAAATAACCGAATCATGTATGATTTTCGTTCCACTTCTCACGTGTGCACCACTTTGTGTTGCTCTTTCACGTGGAATTCCAATCAAACTGATTCATGTTTGTGGCTGTAATGTGACAAAATGTGGAAAAGTTCAAGGGGGCCGAATACTTTCGCAAGCCACTATATTTAAAACAAAATCACTATAATTTCTGAAGAGTGCACAGAGCACTTATCCAGTTTAAAATAATATCTTGTATTGTATACAGTTACATACTTTTGCCATGGAAAAAATAGAATTTCTGTAAGTTTAGCAGCTTATTGATCAGTGTATACATGGGTATGTATGTGTGTATACACGTGTGTACATGTGACGATGTACTGCAATAAACGAGCACATAAAATAGGGCATCCCTTCCTAAACCACTTATCAGCACACACACAGATAGGCTCCAGTGGGATCTTTTCTTCCTGCTTCCTGTTGCTCAATAATTCAGTCGGTCCAGAGTGGAGGCTATAGTTTCCAACCATGAGAAGATGTGTTCGAGTGTGTATCCGCACGAACAGATGGGGCCATTAGTATCAATGCTGTTTTTGACGGCATTTAGCTTGTAAGTGCACGTATTGATTTTACGAGCTTATTGACGTCCATTTTTCCATTTGTACAGTAAACAGCGGATAAAAGCGAGAAAGAAAAAAAAGGAGAGGGAAACCGCTGGCCTTTGAAGCATGTGGTCCCCCTCACTCTCTGTCCCAGTAATGGCTTATTGAATTAGGACAGCAAATATTTTTAGTCGCGACCACCGGCTGTGAGAAAACGTAGCCTGAATTACAGTAAATGGTAAACTTGCTGTCTGTTGACACGTTTCATGTGAGACTGGGATGCACACACACACACACACACATGCACACAAAGCGAAGAAACCTCTGCTGGCTGTAGTAAGCACCCAGTTTCCTCCCTTAGTCCATCATTGCATCAGGGCCTTTGATGTGCCTCAGTGCTTGGCCGAGAGTCCCCATCAGCTAAGAGTTTATCTGCTGGGCTTGCAGCTCGCTGGTTTGAAGCTGTTGGCCTTGCATATGTTGAAGATGAGAAATTAGGAGCGATTACACTAAGAAAGATGGGGAGCGGGGGTGAGTATGGGGAAGGCTCGAAGAGCAAAAAAGAAAGAAAAAGACTTAAGAGAGGGAGTGAGTATTTCAGATAATTTCCCATGTAGGGGATATTAGCAAGCTTGTGGGTGCATTTATTTCAGAAAGTGCCTCTCCGTGCATTTAAAATTCAAAGCTACAAAAGCACTGAGAAGAGTTATAAATATCTACCAATCATCTGAAAACTTAAAACTACTGATAACTGAAGAAAATAACAGTGATTATCTCATTATAGTGCAAGGTTACGCTGGGATATATTGGATCCTGGCATCCATGCGGATGTTAATTTGTCACTTGCCATCCCTGCACAATAGCAGCGACCTCCCCAGCAATGCAAAGACTGCTCAGGAACAGCTAGAGGAACCCAGCAAAGAGACCAGGATGTTCAACCAGAATACCAAATCCACATATTTAAACTGGATTGAGCATCCGTTGGATTATTTCTAACAATGTTTTACCTGTGAAACCACAGAATTCAAATGATCTGCTGTCAACGTCTTGGTTCCCCTCCCCCCGTCCAAACCTTACAGACCACACAAGGTGGGACCTTGGCAAAATTAAGCAGGTGGTTTTTTAAATGTTGTGCCTGATTAGTGCATTTTTCCCTATTCTCTTAGTTGTTTTCCCCATGACAACAGGCTAATTTTCTTATCCAACAAAGCCTCCTTTCTCTTCATTGAACTAATTGTTATCTTGAGACGGCCACTGACAAGGTGATGGCAGCGGCGGTGGAAGAGCGAGCTTCAAAACAGCATAAATAAGCAGAGAAAGCAAGAGAGAAATTGGATGAGGTGGTTCAAATTTAAATATTATTCATCTGGAGAAAGAAATGTGCAAACACACTGGAAGATGATGGTTCTTTATGTCTGGCAAACACCACTCAGGAGTCAGATTAATTCAAAAACATAAACATGACTGTTTTTAGTGGCGCTGAATTCTCCTACAGTCCACAAACATGATTCATGGAGGTCCTGGTGGATCTTTAATCTTTCTGTAAATGTTCAACTAGCTGCCTTCCATTTCCAGGTACAACCTCTAGCATCCATTTTCTTCCATTTATCCAATTCTAATTTGTTTTCATTTTATTTTGAAACTTCTATTCTATCATGCATTTTTTCCATAAAGTTGTGTCCATATTCATTTTATAGTCATTTCAGGCTGTATTATCAGGATAATTATGAACAGTGTGAGTACAGTTGTTTGTAAAACGTACCTTCTTTGTCTGCATGTATGTTGTTTTCTCACATACAATTTCCTGGTTTTGCAGTCAAATCTTCTCATATCCTGTGTGGGCATTATGACATCAATGGATTTTAAGGCAAAGAGGGGAAACAGCAGCACAGGGACCTGTGTCTGCAGATAGAGGGTCAAGTATTATTGTGTAAAACCATAAGACCCTGCAGGGAAAATTCACAACTTATGATAATGGAACATATAAATATGACTAGCTTGACTGGACACTTTATGTGACACCGTGTAAATTATGAATACAAACAGTATACAATACAATAATCTAAAAATTGTTTACAGCCAACATTTATTTGATAACAGTGCAGATAACAGAGCCAGTACGTGAACATATCAAATATTGAGTTAACAGTATTTGTTAATCTTCAGGATAAGTGGTGCCTACACAGATGTAAAGCTGGCTTTTCCTCTATCCTACAAACCCAACCTAACCATGACCATAACCACAACATTCCCCTGACCCTGAAAAAAAAACCAACCACCTAATTTGTTGGTGAACCTTCATCGGAGGGGGGATTGACAATCACACACAATAGAGAGATGCACACTCTGCGTAAACTCCTAAAATCCCAAATTCGTGCAAGTTTGGGATTGCCCTGGAATACCATAGGTGCGATATTAAATGAGTACACCTACTATCTGAACTGTTGCAGTATAATGATTCCCATATTCCAAACACGGTCTCTCTCTCCCTCTCTCTCGCTCTCTCTCTCTCTCTCCACTGTGCGGCGGTTTGATGGGTCGGTCGGTGAAGCTGCTTCTTGGCTCCTGAGCTCCGAGAGAGAGATAAGCCGGCTGCAGAGGTAAGGGACGGGGAGAAGGGGGAGAGGCTGGAGCAGAGCGAATACGAGTGGCGGTATTATTAGTGGTGAAAGATGCATAAAAGAAAACTGAAATGTTGTTGCGTGCGCTTTTAACGCTCCTACTGGTAAAGCCTCTGTTATTTGTCATTGCAGCGGTGTTCTCAGTTTGCTGTGCTTGAGGTGTTGCTTGGCTGTTGTTGGAGTAATTAATATTTCGGAGGGTGACACGGAGGATGCAGTTTTTCTCACCTGGGATTAAAGAGACCTCAGGTGATCTGTCGGGGACACTTGAAGTGCACAAGTGCATGTTTGAAATCAATTTGCGCGTTTTCGTCCTCTGTGCATCTGTTGGGATGCGCACAGAAATTTGTGAGGAAGATAGTGAGAGAGGTGTGGTGTGTGTGTGTGTGCGTGTGTGTGTGTAGGGTAAAGTACGCGCGTAAAAATGCGTGCTGCTGGTTGTTGCGGACTGTGTCGTGTAAATTAGGCTGCAGAGTGCTAGGTGTGTGTGTTTGCGGGGGGTGAAGCGGTTCTGAGAGGATAGAGAGACCACAGAAAGAGGTCGGAGTGAGACCGAGAGAGAGATCTATGTCACTGTTGGTATGCAGACATGCACGACCATCATCCATCAAACTTAAGCTCTCCCCACATTAAGACAGATGACGATTTGAGCCCGGTTCTGGCTATTAAGCAGTGATACTGATATTTATATTAATGCTGCATAATTACACGTTATCTTGATTTAGTTATCTGTGGACTGTCAGAGCATTGTTTACCTGATTGACTTCACGGTCAAATGTGGATGCACAAGTTTTGACGTCCCCATCATGCAAAAATTTGTTTGCATGATGGGGATTTTGAAGAAAATCAAAGATCTTTAAAGGTCGAGGATGAACTGAAAAAGATAAACAAGTGCCAGCTTTGGCCTTATCGGCCAGCACCAGTGGCTTATATCAGTAAAACGCTTGTGACTGATTTGTCGCAGCCTCACAAAGCATAGAAGTTTTTATATTGTGACCAGGTACTCACTCCTACATTGTTCTAAAAATAAATTCCCAAGTGATAGAAGATTTTGGACGAGGCTCCGGCCTTTCTTTGTGGGGTTTGCATGTTCTCTCGGAGCCTCCAAGATCTTTCTGCCTACAGTCCAGTGACGGGTTAAATGGTGATTCTAAAGTTGATCCTAGCTGTGGATTTGGGGCTTAATAGTCTAGCCTAGCTTTGTTGTAGCTGCTGAACTCTTATCAAGCACGATCCAGCACTTATATGACCCCCAGTTAGGTTAGCAGTTAAGAAACTGCTGCTCAATGTTACTGAGACCTTGGAACCAACTTTTAATCAACTGCATGGGCAGGTGCTCGATTTCATACAGCTATGGGAATGGAGCTGAAAACACCTGAATTCAGAGATTAAGAGGTGTGGCACAATACTTTATTAGATTCATTTCAATGAACGCTACACTGTAATTTCACCGTTAAAGGTCATTCAGTCTCAAATCACTGTGGGCTCTCTGCTCGCCTATCTCCAATTTGGCTAAAAATTTTATGTCCAAAGTTTGTAGCTTTTTATATAAAATACTTTTTTTTTATATTACCTGCTTTTTTCACACTTTGAAAATCTGAGACAACCCTTGAACATGAATATCTAACAAAAAAAAGTGGGAAAAAAAGAACGAGTGAGCAGAAAATGTTCTAAAAAATGTGAAGATTTGTGTTGGAATGACCCAGTAGCTGGATTTACAGTAGTTAAGAATACTGTGCTTTAAGCTTTATGACATCATATTGTCGGTAGTGTGGATGAGATTTTCCGATCATATTAGTGCTACTACAGTAATATAAAGAGGAACAGTATTAGAACATAAACAGTTTATTACCCTAAAATTACCTGTGGGTGTCCTCCTCTGTGTACTCTGAATTCAGTTTCCTGTTATGCTTAAACTGTGTTTGCAGCTTGGTATTCACTTCTTGCCTCACAAGGTTACAGTATTCCTGACCTGCTCAAAATTGTATCAACCACCCAAGGTGAAGACTGGCGAATTTCTATGGTAGTCTCACTCATTGCTGTCTAAACCTCAGCACAGCTTTCTGCTACACAAACCCTGGTAACTAGATCACATGTGAAAAAACAATCAAGGATTTGAACTTGAATTTACATGATCACACAAGAAAAAGATACAGTACTGTACCATTAATATACAGAAGCTCTTAATATGTTTCGTATCTTAAACAAGATGTGAATGAACCATTACTGTGTGATATATGCTGTTAAATGCAGTCTGCCTGATAAACCACACACACAACTCCACACATTTGACTCTTTATAAGGTTGAATGGCTTCTAAACTGGTGGTGTCCCTTATATTTGTAGCCAGGCTTTTGTGTAAAATAGCCAGACATCCTCATGCAGCCCTCCCTGGGGTGGTTTTCGATGGAAGGTGAAGCAAACGCTGGGTGTGCGTTGCACTGTGGAGGGTCCAGAGGGAAAAGGATAGCGCAGACTTTAGACACAGCAAGAGATCTCACTCACCGCATCCACTTCCTGTCATCGCAGCGTGTTTTAAAGGAAAGGGGGGTGGTTAAATAAATGTTCACCTCTAAATGTAATCAGAATAATTTAGAGTATTAATCTGCGACAAGTATAAAAATAAATGTCATGCGTTTCTTTCAGTCATTTAATTTCCTGAAACCTGGGGCCTATTTTTATTTTATTTTATTTTTTTCTTCTTCAGTGACTTCAAATTACATCACAACACTTTCACTGTTGTTATTCCTTTGTAGTGCAAAAGAGGAGCGAGCACAAATGTTTTGACTGATGCCTTCCTCAGTGTTCATTTTCTTGCAATCGAGTATCATTTCTGTGGCAGCGCTTGATTTGTTCCAATTATGTAGAGCTGAACGCTGAGCTGGTGAAGACATCAGCTGAAATTCAAGCGTGCTTGTTAGTCTTTTGCATTTAAGAAGAAGAAAGATAAAGCTTAAGTGAAGTTTAAAAAACTGTGCTTCACTTGTAATTGTACGTAGCTAACACGAGCGGCGAACAAACAAAGGACTCTACACCTACAGGCTCTCACGAAGACATCACAGCACATCGATTGAAGCCTCGTAAACACCACAGGAAGGAGTTTCCTGAGCTGGCGGTTCTGAAGGAGTTTGAGGGCTTAACATAGGAAGATTTTAATTCTTCTGTAAAAACATGTTGTTTGCGTTTCATAAAATGAGACGCGTGTGGTCCCTTTATATCTTCTTCATCCTCAAGTTCATCTAATTTTGGATAAATAGATTAGGCATTACATCAGAGGCTTTCAAGGTGACCAAAGCTGACTCTGGAAGTTCTTTAAAGCAATTAGGCCAACTAAAGCATCTCTATCAACAGGGGTGAGGCTCCTCTGTGAACCATTAATTAAATAACTGTGCGATAGAGGATGATCTCATGTGAATGTTCAACCTGAACATTTCATATCTTTGCAAAATCCAGAGTTAGAGCGAATGTTGGAGGTATTGATCCCAGCCTACGCAACTTTACGACATTCCAGGAGCAGGATGGAAAGAAGATGGGAGTTTAAACTTGAGCAGTTCAGAGAAACAAACCAGGCATCACTTCTAAGCATTGACTGCTGGTTTGGAGTAGCAGTTAAGCAGACGGTGTCCCTGTCTTTCCTTCAGCACCAGAAAGCTCGTGGACACATGGACACTTTGTACAGTATATCCTCTCACACATTCAGACACACACAAACAGCTGGTTAATGAGAGCGTCGACTTAAAAAGGACATTAAATTCACTTCAGACGACACAAAACTGCCATTTACTCTTAACCCAGTCAAAACCACTTTCTTAACTTTAGTTCGATTCTTATTATTTAATGTTTAGCTTGCTTGCACGGAAGAAGATGTGCTACCACTATGTGTCTTTGTAAACGGCTTTATGAGTAATACATGAACTAAATATAATACACAACCTAGGTGCACCTGTTTCTGAGATAAGCTAAGCTACACTAGCCTCTGGCTGAAGCTTCGCAGTTTCCATATAGATATGAGAGTGGTATTGATCTTGTCTTCAGATCTGTGGATGTTTCCCAACATGCCAAACCCAATCATCCTACAACCAATCATGCTCAAGTCTGCTCTCATTTTGCTTCCTTTCTCTTTTCACTCTTTGGGCATGAAGCAGAAATTGCTTTGTGGAAGTTCTTTAACTTCTAATTTTGCTTCAGAATACGAGATTATGCACGATTGAAACAGCATATCAACACATGATGCTCACGATGATGATACTGCGGATGCAGGCACCCACACTGATTCTGTGTCAAATTTCAGCTCTGATACCTTTATTCTTTCAGCTGAAAACATGCTTACACGGTTAATATTTACAAATTGATTAAATTAGATCAATTTGATTTTTTTTCCTACAGCAGGGGTGTCAAACATGAGGCCCGGGACTAGAATTGGCCCGGCAATGACTCCAGTCTGAGCCCGTGGACAGTTTTAGAAAATGTGACTTCACTTTTAACTGTATTTTCAAGTTTTGCTAGTTTTCCTCTGCCCATTCATACTGCACCAAAGTAAATAAGCAATAGATAAATATTTAAATGACTAAAAACACTGTTTCTTACAGTGAATTCCCAGGTAAAGAAAAAAGAACTTAATTTTGCTCTCCTTCTCACCATTCATGCTAGCTTTTGGGAACTACACATGTGAACTACATTTCCCATGTACACATGGTTTATGAAGCACAGGTGGACACTATTAAAAACTCTTTGCCAACATTTGGCTGAAGTTCTAGGAAGACATTTTGCTTTGATAACCTGCATCAGGCCTTCATTCACATTTCAGTTCTTTATATTTAGTGGTAATGATAATAATAATAATGGATTGGATTTATATAGCGCTTTTCAAGGCACCCAAAGCACTTTACAATGCCACTATTCATTCACTCTCACATTGGTGGAGACAAGCTACGGTTGTAGCCACAGCTGCCCTGGGGGAGGCTGCCATATCGCGCCATCGGCCCCTCTGGCCAACACCAGTAGGCAGTAGGGTAAAGTGTCTTGCCCAGGGACACAACGACCAGGACAGAGAGCCCTGGGATCGAACCGGCGACCTTCCGGTTACAGATGCGATTCCCAACCCCCTGAGCCACGGTCGCCCGAGTGAGTGTGATGGTCTTTTTTTTAAAAGATTTTACTGAGTGGAAACACAAAGTGGAAAATACTGCTTTTCTCTGAGCAGAATCATCTTCCAGTCATACACCTAAAGTCTATAATTTCTTCCACAAATATTTTCTCAGATAAATGTTTCCAGGAAACCTCCATCTCACTGAGATTATGTGCAAACTCTTCTGGTTTGCATCGCAAAAGAAATGAATAAATTAAACTGAAATGAAATAATGGAGTGTGTTTCCATTATCATGAGTGCATATTTGGCAGCTTCCAGGTATATTGTTGTGAGGATTCAGTTATCTGCAACACAAGGAAGAGCTTGCTATCATAACATTTCCTATAGATTAGATTTGTTTTGCATTTTCATTGCGCGGTTTGCAACCAGACTCATTTAATCGAGTGCAGAATTGTTTAGATTTCCAGGCCTGTGTAATGTTATTTTGCAAATTCACTGTGTTGCAACCAGCAAAGAGACTAGCTGTCTGCAGATGAATCAGTCAGAAGCTATTATTTCTTTTACAATGGACTAAATGGAAAGGCATCTGGTCCCAGTTACGTTTGGGATAAAATCTTCTGGCACTGATGAGCACAGAGGAAAAGAGGATGCATAGATGGAGCCCTTATATAGAAACCAGGGTGTCAAGTGTGTTTCATTTCTCTTTCCAGCTGTTTGCCCCCTATCTGACTTTGAACCTTCTCCTTCTTGCACCTAATCTCAGCTCAAGTGTCACACAACAATATTTTGACAGCTGTCAGAAGAGCACAGACAGGCCTGAGTAATGGGATGTCACAAGTGTGTGTGTGGATTCGCATACAGTGGGGCAAAAAAGTATTTAGTCAGCCACCGATTGTGCAAGTTCCCCCACCTAAAATTATGACAGAGGTCAATAATTTGCACCAGAGGTACACTTCAACTGTGAGAGACAGAATGTGAAAAAAAAATCCATGAATTCACATGGTAGGATTTGTATTTGATCACCTCAAACAAGGAAAATCTCTGGCTCTCACAGACCTGTAACGTCTTCTGTAAGAAGCTTTTCTGTCCCCCACTCGTTACCTGTATGAATGGCACCTGTTTGAACTCATCATCTGTATAAAAGACACCTGTCCACAGCCTCAAACAGTCAGACTCCAAACTCCGCCATGGCCAAGACCAAAGAGCTTTCGAAGGACACCAGGAAAAGTATTGTAGACCTGCACCAGACTGGGAAGAGTGAATCTACAATAGGCAAGCAGCTTGGTGTGAAAAAATCAACTGTGGGAGCAATCATCAGAAAATGGAAGACATACAAGACCACTGATAATCTCCCTCGATCTGGGGCTCCACGCAAGATCTCATCCCGTGGGGTCAAAATGATCATGAGAACGGTGAGCAAAGATCCCAGAACCACACGGGGGGACCTGGTGAATGACCTGCAGAGAGCTGGGACCAAAGTAACAAAGGTCACCATCAGTAACACACTACAACGGCAGGGAATCAAATCCCGCAGTGCCAGACGTGTTCCGCTGCTGAAGCCAGTGCATGTCCAGGCCCGTCTGAAGTTTGCCAGAGAGCACATGGATGATACAGCAGAGGATTGGGAGAATGTCATGTAGTCAGATGAAACCAAAGTAGAACTTTTTGGTATAAACTCAACTCGTCGTGTTTGGAGGAAGAAGAATACTGAGTTGCATCCCAAGAACACCATACCTACTGTGAAGCATGGGGGTGGAAACATCATGCTATGGGTCTGTTTTTCTGCCAAGGGGACAGGACGACTGATCCGTGTTAAGGACAGAATGAATGGGGCCATGTATGGTGAGATTTTGAGCCAAAACCTCCTTCCATCAGTGAGAACTTTGAAGATGAAACGAGGCTGGGTCTTCCAACATGACAATGATCCAAAACACACCGCCCGGGCAACAAAGGAGGCTCCGTAAGAAGTATTTGAAAGTCCTGGAGTGGCCTAGCCAGTCTCCAGACCTCAACCCCATAGAAAATCTGTGGCGGGAGTTGAAAGTCCGTGTTGCTCGGCGACAGCCCCAAAACATCACTGCTCTCGAGAAGATCTGCATGGAGGAATGGGCCAAAATACCAGCTACTGTGTGTGCAAACCTGGTAAAGACCTATAGTAAACGTTTGACCTCTGTTATTGCCAACAAAGGTTATGTTACAAAGTATTGAGTTGTATTTTTGTTATTGACCAAATACTTATTTTCCACCCTGATTTACGAATAAATTCTTTACAAATCCTACCATGTGGATTCATGGATTTTTTTTCACATTCTGTCTCTCACAGTTGAAGTGTACCTCTGGTGCAAATTACTGACCTCTGTCATCATTTTAAGTGGGGGAACTTGCACAATCGGTGGCTGACTAAATACTTTTTTGCCCCACTATTGCATGTATTGTGCATGATTCGGTAATCGGTTGTTCTGTAGTAAATTAAAGGGCAATTTTATGGGGTTTAAAATCAACCTTTAACCTGCTGCAATTTGTTTCTGTACTTTGTGAGTGGTTTATTGGAATAATGTGCAATCATTTTTGCAACAGTCTCCATGTCCTCCTTCGCTACACCCATGAATCTTATCTGTGCTCTTCCTCTTTTACTCCTGCCTGGCAACTCCATCTTCAGCATCCTCCACAGAGTTTCCACGCTGCTCGACCTGAGTTGTCCCTCTGATATACTCATTTCTAATCCTGTCCATTTTGGTCACATGTAACACAATTCATCTTCAACTCTGTCACCTCCAGCACGGCCTCCTGTCTTTTTGTCACTACTGCTGTCTCCAAACTCTACATCATAGCAGGCCTCACTACCATCTTGTAAACCTTCCCTTTCACTCTTGCTGCTATCCTTCTGCTTCTCTGAATGGAAATGAACGTGCAAATTAGTTTTCAAAATGAGATATTCATCTGACTGATTTTCATCATTTGAATTAATTCATGCACATGATGTCAAATTTTAACTGAAGAAACAAATTTTTATTCCCCTTGTAAAACAAGACATCACATCCTTTGTGGTAAAGAAGCAAGTGACGCTCTTATATGCCAGGAAATATGATGTCCCACAAACTGAAATGATTTACTGGAATAATCAAGCAAAAACAGAATGTATTTTATTCTCCTTTAACTTCAGTCTCATGTGACGGGTCTGGAGGGAGTAGCGTAGAAGGGATAACAGAGAAAATTAGGAGAATTGATGATGCCTCCATTGCATCCATCCTGTGGCTGCTGATAGAAAACCAGAAAATAGAGAGACATGGGAGACTGGAGCCCAATGCTCAGTTCTATGGTCCAATTTATCACTTTGTTTCTCACTCTCTTTCTTTCCCTAGACTCTGGAGACAGCACAGTTGGAAATAAAGAAGAGAAGACAAAGAAGAGAGGATAATTTAACACACAGGGAAGGCGACTGTAAGGGAGAGATGGCTGAGGCACAGCAGCAGCAACAGCAGGAGGAAGGAGGGGAGAAGGAGAAGGAAGAGGAGCAGCAGCAGTCGAGCCCCGTGGAGAAGACTGAACCTGACGAAGGGGCTGAAGAACCGAAGGAGATCGCCCAGACGACCCCGTCTCGACCTCTGCTCTCCACGAGGTCCATGAGCATCGTGGACCCAGATGATGACACGCCCAACATGATTGTTTACAGAAAGGTAAGAGCAAGTATAATCTCCAGCATCTTTTTGCTGACTCACAGTGGTTTGTGGTTTTGTTAGACAAATTTTAACCGGTTGCTGATGGTGGTGCTGCAGACTTGAGAGAGTAGGACGGGGAGTGCTTTTTAAGCGCTTCAGTGCAAAATGATTTTTTGGCTTTGCTGTCTGTCAAACTCGAAAGTAAGTTTGAATAAAAAATAAAGCGAACATTCAGCTGATCTGTGAGAGTTTTGGAGCAAATTTTATTATTTTCAGGTGATTCTGAGATTTCTACATTTGGCTCGAATCAGTGAGGCCAGTTCTGAAACTAGTTTTATTCTTTTTACTTGTATTACATTTATGCATCTTTTACATGTATTTTAATTGGAGGAAGCCAGAGTATCAGCATAAACTCCAACAGGACAAAATTACTTTCTTTTTGATGTCTGTGTCATCAGAGATGGAGATTTACTGTATAGGTGGTATAATTATAGGTGTGATTATAACCCAAAGCTTTAGAGGTTTATTGTTATTCCTCTACAGTAGTTACTTTATGCCACACAGAGCTGATTAAAAGACAAATGAATGTATTTCAAAGGCAGTCTTGCTCTCTCTTCTAAATGAATATGAGCTGTGACCGCATTACTTACCAGCAGGCAGCTGGTGCACACATTTAACTAATTATCATGCATAATTAGGATGCTACATACTAAAATTGAAGTTAATTCCTATTGGCTGGTGATGCAGCAATTTCCTCTTGGAGCTGCTGGAGTCATATGTATTTGAAGAGCTGCTGCTCTGATATATGACACTAGAAATGAAGGCTCCTGCTGCGAACTGAGATGGAAAGTTTTTGGACAGGTGGCGAAAAAAGTGAGAGATTGTTTTTCATAAACAAGCTTGCAGTATGTTTCTTTTGATCAGAAAAGACACACATCAAATTTATGGAGAGGATAGTTTCAGAAACAGCAGGACATCTTTGTGAGAAATGGGGTTTTAAAAGAAGTGTGAAGTGAAGAGACTACATAAGACATCAGCTGAGCCACCACTGCAAGTTGACAACTGCATTAAGTACCATATATAAATAAAGAATAGTGGAAAAAAAACACTAACTCCTAAATGCTAGTCCAGAAGGACTAGCTGTCTAGAAGCAGCACACCACAAATGAAACTGTCCATGATAAATTAATGCCAAAATGTTGTACATAAAATATAAGGGAGGAGGCTCGGTTTTTGTAAGTTTCCACCCCGTTTAAAGGTGTGTTTTGTGGCTGACCCTGACATTTGACCTCATTGTGAAAGGGAATGAGAATATACTGTTTCTCTGGATGGAATCAATGCACTATGTCATGTCAGCCCAACCTGAATGAAAGACAAGGGGGAAGGAGATGAATTTACACTGAGGGCAATCTCGCCTCCTGTGCTAAATGAACGTGTCAGTATTGTTTACCAGCAGGCAGCTAGTGCACATTTTTACTTATTTATCGTGACCACGGAGGTGTGGCTCTATAGGGATGAGGAGATGAAAAAGATGAGAAGAGAGTGATGGAAAATGATCTCTACTAGCCATAGCGTGTCTGTAATGCAAGAATTAATGGGTGAAATTGGCTGAAATAATTTCTCTCTGTCAGTAAGCACTAAATTCTGCGATCAGAGATGTGAAGGATATTTAATGGAGGCTGAGAACTTGTTTAAATGCTGAGTGGGCATTATCAAATTACTTTGCATCCTATTCAGTCTTGATGAAGTCTTGATGAAGCCTGGAAATGAACCACAGTGACAGCACTTGCACTTGACAATATAAAGAAGCAGCACTTGAAGATTAAACTTACTAGTGGCAAACACTATTTTTGCTTTTTGTTTGGACGGATAACCTTTTCTGGTTCAATTAGTTTAACAAGTTCTCAAATGACTCAAATCAAGAGCTAATTTCATATCTGGGGTGTATTCTACTCATTTATTTTTATTCAAGTTTGAATAAAAAGGTGCAGGAAGAAGAAAATGTCATAAATGTGGCCTTTCTAAAATGAATCGTTTACATTGGTAGAACACATACATTTAGTTGCATATTTGTCACACAGTAATTGCCCCCAATATTAACCTATGAATTAACTGCGATTAACCACATTTTTTTGAAAAGCTGAGTTCAGTTAGATCAGCCACACCCAGGCCTCA